AACAAGCCTATATATATGGGACAGATGTAGTATTAAATAATAAACAGAAAATACTACATAACCGAAAAAAATATCAAAAGTACTGCAACATAAACTTTCTTTATTTTTATCTGAAATGATGAATGAGAATAAAAAATGAACAAATTAATTGAAGATGTTGAAAATATGCCAATTAAAATATAAAATCAAGCTTGGATGAAGCATTAACATCTTATATTCAGTTCTGGTAGTGTATAATGTCTAATATTATTCGTTATTGATTTCTTATCGAGGATTTCATATTCAAGAGTTATAGGTAATTTTGTCGTATAACTACTCCGCTTGATTTCTTATCATTGTGTATGCGTTATCGTATAAACTCGATTGTTGAAAACACATGGGCCTGTTGATTCTGAAATCATCTTAATTCTGAGCAACACAAATGAAATCACCAAATGCAATTATATTTTTTCATTTTTCGGTTTGTGACAACATGTACATCGTACACGTCTCTTTAAAGAAGTTGGCTTGTATAAACCCAATGTCGACCCGTAAAATTTGTAATTTTTGAACTACAAATCAGGTTTCCATAGTCATTTCATGATAATTTTTTTTTCACAATTCGCTATAGTCAAGTCACTTAAGACTAAAAAGATGGTTGTAAGTAGCAAAACCTTTTGATACTCTAGCGTGGGCACACGGAAGAGCATGGCAACAACAATCACTCTCAAGTAATACAATTATCATTGTACAAAAATTGATGAGTAAGTAAAAGGTCAATCGCTTGGAATTGTTAACTATCACAAAAACAATGTAAAAATATTCGGCACCAATATTCTCGAATGGAAAAGAGTAATTCACCAACGTGATAGCAAGAACAAGAATATTTCAACATACAAATGATATTATGTTTTAACGATCAATTGTATAATGTAAAAAGGCTGGATATAGAAAATATTTGAGTTGGGACGATGAATCACATGGTGTATTAGAGTTTATATAATTACGAATGAATCCCAAAAATGCTGAAATCGCACTTTGGGTAATGTATTATCGGAAACTACATGTAGAAAATCACATACCGAGATATGATAAGGCGGTCTGCAAGTAAAAGATGATTTCTTGAAATCGATTCTTGATTTTTTTTTTTTTTAATCTTTGTGTAATGGGGAAGATGTAGATTGGGGATTTTGGGCGTGGGGTGGGGTGGGGTGTGCGTAGTTATTGATATGTGTGTTTGGTGGAGTGATGATGGTGTTTAATTTGATTAATAATAAGATGAGTGATTATATTTATTGATTATCATTTTTACTCCATAAATTGCAGTGATTTTTATTTTTTAATTAAAAAAACTTGCAAGGTAATAGATGAATATATATTTAAATTGATCTAATGGGCGTAATTTCCTCGACTTCAAATATGTTTTCTCTAAGCCAAACAAAATCAAGTCTGGACTACAAGTCGAACTAATATATAGAAAATAAATTTACACGTAATAATTACATATTTGATTGAATATTTGCGTCGAGATATAAATATAACCTTTTCTTTATTGTCCATTTCTTTTTTCCCTTAAATTATTAGTAATCTAATCACGAAACTAGGTGCGATACATAGACTTT